AATGGGGATTATATAGGGGTATATTATAAATGGGATATATTGGGATAATGGAAAAGAAAATGGAAACTACCATATTATGAAGTCTTCGCATGATGCCTCAAATGGGCTGTCACGTCCTGGGTCAGCTGCTGGAGCTCAGGATCCTTGAACTTCGTGACATTTGTCAGCTCAAAAGACTGGTCCACCTGGATTCGACTTTGCTTGCGACATGTCCGGTTAGAGGTTCCCTCCCTGGCCTGATGAACGAAAACGCCTTTGACAATGTTCAGCCACAGCATCACACCGAACGTGAGGAAGGCGAACAAAACCATCCCTTACAATCTCCCAAACTTGCAGGTTCTTAGAACAAAAAGAAGGGAATATATCTTGTAGGGATTAAATACGGATTATATTCCCTGTTCCTTACTAAGAACCAGCAAGGTGAGCATTGCCAAAGCTGAGGATGGCGAGATGGACTAAACAGCTTACCCAGGCACCACTGATCGCAGTACCAACGCCGAAAAGTAGGGGATCTGCAAGCTGTGGTCCCCACTCAACGCCTCTCGGCGGAATCTGCTGCATGACTGCCATGCAGCAGGCGTCGAAGGAATCTAAGCAACAACACATGTTGCCACGAGCTGCCTCCCAGCAGGCACTCAATCAACGTGAGGTACGTATGAGCCACAGAGCAGAAGCGAGCGCCTTCACAGCCGCAGCAGAAACTAGAAAACTTGAGCTTGCCTGTATGTGCTGCGGAGGTGCGAATCTCGGTGGGAAGACCGTCATGGATGAGGCTGCTAGGTCCAACGAGCTGACAAATCAAAACAGAAGCAGCAAACAACCTTGGGATCACATGGTCAATTGAAAAAGGTATGTTGGTACACTGCGCTCACTGACTCAAGCACTGTCTGCAGCCCAGGATCATGATAGCCATATACATGGTCATCACAAGTAAGTAGCTCAGCGAGTGCTTGAGACCAACTGCCTGCAGAAGGAACAAAGTCCATCAGGGCATGTGCAACAGCAATCAAGCATGCAAGGTGGCACAATAAGCCACATCCAAACGTCTCGGCACCGCTTCCAATGCAAGTACATGTGGTAAAGTGACAGGAAGTTCTCCGCATCACATGAACTCCTTGCAGCCCTGCACTAACTCCCCAAACAATCCAACTCCCCAAACAATCCAACTCCGCCGGGGTCAATGCTGAGCACTGCAGTCTCGGCACAGAGAGGTAAAGAGGTCGGAGCCACTTGATGCTGGCCAGCATCACAATGCCTCCCGTGCATGCCCAGGTGACTCCGGAAACGTTCGCAACTCGCAACTCTCCACAAAAAGAAGCAATCTAGTCCCGCCCTAAGCCCAAGGCTGCGTCGATTGGCAAATGGAAACAAACGAAACCCTAAACCCTAAATAGCAGGTAGTTTCCATTTTCTTTTCCATTCTCCCTATATAGCACCTAAATAACCCCTATATAACCCTATATAACCCATGTGATAGCAAGCGCTTTGCGCCATCTTGCCTCGAGCAATTCGGCAGACTCGGAAGAGACTCATCGCGGTGATGGAGATAACAGGAAATTGCCGCGTCCATGGACGATATACCCAAATTTCCAGTGCAGGAATCCTGGGACTACCGTGCTGTCCGAGGCTTTGCTATGCTCCGGCAGAAAAGTCTAAGCACTGTTGCCATCAAGATGAATCCAGTGCTGATTTGGGAATACTGCCCTCTTCGTAGCCTAGCCGACAATGACAGCTAAGTGTCACAATCACCACGGTATCGAGAAGAAGCAAGGGATCCTTCCACACCTGCCACTTTGCCTCATGAAAGAAACTGCAGTGACTGTCCCAAAGACAAGTTTGCGGCGGCCATTCAATTGCAGATGCTGAAAGCAACAGAAACAAAGCATATGCACATGCAAAGTCCTTGGCACATTCTCCCAAATCTGTCAAAAAAGTAACACGGCTGCCCTACATGATTTCTTCGGCATGGATACGAAGTGCCGAAGGCGGAGTAGCAGCTCCACCAGGAAGAGGCCTCTAAAGCAGCTCACATCTGCGAAACACCTCTGGCTGAATCTTACCTTTCATTAGCTGGGAATGAAGGAATGGAAAAGAAAATGGAAACTACTATACAGGGTCATGTAAGGACTACTATAAGGATCCATTCCTTCATTCCTAGCTAACTCAGGGTAAGACAATCCCACTATAGTAGTTTCCAGTTTATTTTCCATTATCCCTATATAACCCCTAGATAACCCCAAGATTAGAGTCGTTTCCATTTCCTTTTTCATCATCCCAATATGGCTTCAAGCCTGTGAAAATGCTCTCGATCACATAGTAAACATTCATGTTCTCAATGATTTCCTGCTCGCGCATCACAAGACCATCTGCTTGGAAACCTCAGTTCCAACCCAAACCACAGACTCACCGTTGGGTAGTAGGGAATAAGGAAATATCACCCTTACATAACCCCTATAGAATATATTCCCTACTATAACCCGAACGTATCCCCTACTATAATGTAGTAGTGTTTTCCATGTTCTTTTCCATAATCCCTATATAACCCCTATGTTCCATTATTCCCGGCTTAGAACCAGTAAGCAGAAAACCAGTAAGCAGAATGCTGGAGATGCTGGAGGCCCAGAACCCACTGTGCAAAGGGGCAACACACTTGACGATGACCATCTCGACATCTGCATCTCTACGAGGATTAGGGTTTAGGGTTTGCGGTTTACTGTTAGGGTTTAGAATTTTGGATTTAGGGCTTAAGGTTTCATCAGAGATACAATTGCAGGAAAGGAGCCCAACCAAAAGGTGTTGAGAGTAATGAACGTCACATTGAATATCAAAAACGCTGAGCTCGTGAGAACCCTGCAGCAGCCAGGCACAAAAAGCAAGCTTCGAAATTGCTGCCAAACATGGGTTGTTACTGGTGCAAAATGGAGTTTCAGGGAAGAAATCTTCAAACATCTTCTTTATGACGCACAAGGTAAATCCGGTTTTCTCTTCATCTTGTCGTTTCGCATGTCTTATCCGACTTTGTTTTGTGCAGCACTGCAGATTGTCTGTGGGCAAGTGAAGACCACACAGAACAAGAAAACGGATCATCAACGCCTTTTTGGGCTCCCCACATGTTAGTCCTGAACAGCCAGAAATGCCATTGTAGAAATCAAGCTTGCCGTTGATGAGTGTGGTAGAGAAATTAAACACTTCATGATTTTCTTCAAGGAACAGCATGGAAAACCTGATTAGACGAATCGGATGTTTTGAGAAGTGGAACTGGAATTCAAAACAGCATGCATAGTTGAGAACAGCGGGTTCCTGACACAAACTAGCAGGTCTGCAGATAATTTGAAACATCCATTTGCCAAAAAAAATGCACCAGAGCAAGGTGCTCCGAAATCGAGTTGCAGAGAACTGTCAGTCCTTGTTGCCCAGCGCGGCGGCCGGTGCAATGAACCACCTCGACTCCTCATTTATGTGCGTGTGGTGGTGGACTTGAACATAAGCTCTACAGCTAGCACGCGAAACAACCACAAACTATGCAAAATTGCTCTAGAGAAAGTGCAATGTACAACCTGCCTACTCCACATGGAAAGCAACAAGAACAGCAATCTGCCAAATGCGAAACAAACAAGGCACCCAGCATCGGAAGCCATGCTCACCGAAGAGCGTCTGTGGTGAACTATGACCTGGAATCTGCTGAGAACAAAAGTTGAATGGACAGCTTCCAGAAATATTCAATCCACATGAGCTATAGTCTAAACTCAGAGTATCCCCCTTATTATCTCGATAGTAGTCCCCTATATAACCCCTTATATAACCCCCTTTAAGGAGTTTAAATTATAGCTCACATGGGAACAATAACACTAACATGTGACCACTGGGACATGGTGCGTAGACCATGAAGTAGCAGGTCTGAAGCAGTGCCTATCGCTGCATATGTTTGAGATATGTTGGCGTAACATGTTGCAGCACAATGCTTACAACTGGCGTGTTGCTTCACTGCGCAGTTGTGATTGGCGGTGCAGCATGTGCTTGCAGCAGTAGTTCACTGCAAGCATTCATTGCGCCATGCGTGTTGATATTCATACCGCAGCAGTCGTCGTCGTCGTCGTCGTCGTCGTCGTCGTCGTCGTCGCTGGCGTCGTCTTCAATAGCAGCAGCAGGAGCTGCCTCGACAGCGGCAGCAGCAGCAGCAGCAGCAGCAGCAGGGCTAGAAGTAGTACCATTCCCTTGAGCGTACTGTAAGCAGTCTTGATGCTTTCGCTGATCCAAGATGAACAGTAAAGTCTGTTGTCCCTGGTGCTGCACATGGCCAGTGCTCATCGCTTCTCAGTGCTGCACCTCTGTCTGGTCGCTCTCGTGGGAACTGGAGGAAGCTTGCTCGTCAAGGTGATGATCGCCAGCCTGTGACAAATTGCGAGAAGCACTCGAAGGCAAGTTAAACAACACACACACACACATCGCCTCATGTTCTGAATTTACTTCGGACGCATCGATCTCAACAACTTCTTCTCCACTAGAGATCGATGCGCTGCCGGTTCCATCATGAAAGCTGACCTCTGCAATGCGCAACGCACTTCGGGAAAAAACATAGCAGTGAAAGGGGGCCATGCAGTAGACGCTCGAATTTGCGTGTTTCCAGTTGCAAATGATTTGGAAACTAGCATTCAGCCAAGTGACATTTTTCGGGATCCTCGATGGAGAGTCTACCATCACATCTGCCCATCACATCGCATGTCCCCCATCTGTTTCTCTTTTTGGCTGCAAGGTGCGGAAGATCAAGAAGCTGAGACATGAAACATGGTCCTGTGCCACCGTTTACACAAGAAACTTGCATACAATGGCAAGTCAAACGCTTGAACCGCGATTCTGATTCGCTTAGATGTCACATCGTGCAAAAGCTGCCATGGGCCAAGAGTTGAGCTACAGTCTGATTTGCAGGAAACTGAAGATGTTGACGCAAACTCTGTCGGCCAACCCAAACCAAAAAAGCTACAGCATCATTTACTTGGCGCCGGACAAGAAACGGTTCATGGGGCTTGACTGCGACACTCCATCAGCAAGCTGCCTTACCTATGGGAAGATTACGGGGCAAACGAGCTTGATGTCAGAAAGCATAACACTCGCAACCATGTTTCCACCAAGCGGGAAGCAGAGCCATGGCCTTGGCATCATGTCTGTGCGCGGGGTTTGGGTCCTGGCCAGACAACAAACATGTTAGCATTCTTTGCTGATGTCATGCCATCGACACCCTCCGGTCGGCTGTGATTTTGCTGAGCACATGAAGAACAACAAAAAAACATAACATTTCGTATAGAAAGCTAACAAATGCTGTCAAAGCCCGTCTGTCCTGTCCCAAAGGCCTCAGATGCAAGTTCAGTTTTAGTTTGAATCCCTAAATTCAACCTGCAAGATGCGAAACCATTGATCCGCCGGCACCGAAAAGCCGGCACCCATAAAAAGTGCTAGCGAATGAGCACGCTACGAGCGCGTTCGATCTGGAGCTTGTTGAGCTTTTGACATCACAGCGAACCTTGCCGTTGCAACATATTTCAAGACACAGAAATGCTTCGCATTGTGACACAGATTGGGCAAATTTTGGCTGAACACCGTGGCCCCGGCACGTGTCCCCCGAAAGGGGAACATCCATGTCATGCGGACACATGGTCGGTAACAAATTGATAATGTCTGTTTGGCAAACTTGCTAGGGAACGGAACAATGCAATATGGTGAAAGATTGCAGGTTCAAGGCTCATGACGCCAAAACGATCATGTTCAAATGGAACATACGCGGCTTTGAATGCATTTGACAACACGTCTTCATCCGCCACTTTTTCCAAAAAACAATTCATCAAAACATTGAGGAATATTTGCAGGTTCATTCATGGATGAAGGGTCCTGGTGTTTGTCTCAAGGACCGCCTGCTCTTCATTGACATGCAATTGTATCATGCAAAACAACTAACCAAAATTACATGGCATGTACTATTGTTCCTAGCTGCTTCTGGAAGCAACACAAACATGTTAATTTGGTTCATGTCTTGCTAACTATGTGCGTCGTGTGGTTGGTGTCCCTCGGTGATCCAAGGCCTATTTGCAAACACCGAACCATGGTCTAGATGTGTTTTTGGGTTGTGGCAGGGATTCGCGTGGTCTGTTACACTTGCGTTTTGCCCCAACCATCGATGACACAGGGTATGAACACGTTATTTGTGAACATTTGCAAAGGCGTGACAACACAATGCATAAAACCCCTTGGCCTCCGCAATGGGCTCATCTAGCATGAAATCAGTAGCATCTTAACATTTGGCTCAAATTTGAAGACAAGCCTCAATTTGGGAAAATTGCACATAATTTTAAAAACTTTGGCACGGTAGCTGCGTTCACAAATGACGTGTCCACAAGGCAGCATGCAAATACGCCCCCCCCAACAAAAAAAGATGAAATTGGGACAGGTAACATTGTGAAACGATGATGACCCATCTTGAGATGCTCGAGCCTTTGACGTAGCATCATCACCAAGTCAGAGTGTGAGGCAAAAGCTTGTTCATTAGTTCAAAAGCTGCCGCGACAATGCCAACTACAAGCAACTATCTCTGCCCACCCGCTCTGCCAAATTGGTCTTTGCTGAGAATTAAATGCTACCCAGATATCTAACTGTAATCTACTCAATGTCAATGCCTAAAACATTGACATTGCGCTTGACCTTCTCAAAAAAAGCATTCACTTGGTCCTAGGGATTCGTGGTTTGAGAGTTAAATGAGCATGTGCCACTGCAAACAACTTGTGATGGCTGTTCTGCAAAACAAGGTTGGGATGTCCTACCTCACATCGCACAACACCTGCACTTCTCATTGCATGTTCCAAAATCACGGTCTTCGGACTTCACATTTGGTGTCTGACGCACAGGTATTGATATTGGTTCCAAAACGGAACACACAAACAAATCCTAAAATATGGATTGCTTGTCATTGCCACGCATGAGGCATCATCATCGATGTTAACTTCAAGATTATGTACAATAACTGCGATTTCTGGTAATGAAGGCAGCTGGCCAGCAGCTTCACCGCTGGCCACTGTTCGAACACAACCAGACAGCCAATCAAGCAACGAGAGCATTGCAAAAGATGCAGCACACAGCCAACGCTTCGGCCGCCGGCGGCGGATGGCGGGGAGGGAGAATGCCCCCTCTTTACAAAGCATGAACAACCATGGAAAATGGTGGAAAATCATGATAAATGGAAAATCGTGATATATGACAAAATGATGGAAAATGAAAGGACGATGAAACATGATAAACAATGCGGAAAAATGTTTGTAAACCTGGCAATATGGTGATGACTGGCCAGAAGGATGCAATAATGTGATGAGACCAGGTGAGACATGATGAAGATTGTTGGAAACCATGCAAAGTTGTACAACATGATGGGAAATCATGTACAATGACGGATGGCTGATGGAAATGACTCACAAAAATAACATCTGACGAGAATACGGGTAAAGTGATAAAGCATGATGCAAAACAAATAATGATAAAGCCTGAGTAAGAATGATGGACATTATGTAACATGACCAAATATGATGACATATGAAGAAACAGCAGTAAATTCAGCCGGGGGTTTGGAGGGGTCGGTCCCCGATCTGCAAAACAAGTAACATGAATGAACATCATGCATAACGAGAAAAAATGATAGGGAATGATGGGAAATCATGAAACACGATGAAAATGCTGACACATGACACAAGCGATAAACAATTCAGAAGAATGCTCACAATGATTGTTGGAAGATGACAAAACATGATGCCAACGATGAAATACTATGACGTGCTATGTAAATGATGAGATATGATGGAAGAAGTTCATGAAAATGAGGACACATCATGAAAACCAGACAAAATTGATGGAGAGGAAATGCACATGATGACAACAAAAAAAGCATGAAGCCATGAAACACGATGAAAAGTGAATGATGAAACCTGACGAAAAATGATGGATAGGTGGTGGTTGATGGTGAAACGTGATGGGAAATCTTGGTTGTACCCCATTAAGCCCAAACTCACAATTCCAAGGGAACATCACACGGAAGGGGAAGGGAGAAACATGTAAATGTTTAAACGCGAGACGACAGCATGCATTGCACTCATCAAAATGCTTTGGAACGCACAGCCCGAAACTGAGAGTACGCATCGCAAGCGATGCATATGACAGATGCACATGAGGAACAGGTCGACGTGTTGTTTGACCTCCAATGGGCTGTTCATTCAAAGCTAAACTTCGAAAATCTGACGTACTAATGTCTCCACCTCCTGTTGGATTTGGGCCAAAAATGCCCGGATAAGATCTTCTTAAAATCCGTCAAGTGCATTCACGCGACACAAAACTGAAAACGGAAGCTTCTCAAAACTGAAAAACACAGATGTTTGAAAAAAACTCAGGTTGAAAATACATGTCCACGTGAATGCCAAAATGTGAAAAATGTTTGGCAAAATCCTCAAACTGAAAATGCATGTCCACATGTGCGCAAACATGTGACATGACTGAACAACTCAAAAAAAGCTGCAGAGCGCAACTGAAGGCGTGTCGAAGTCCCAAAGCTAGGATGTATGTAGACTATCCATCAGCCCAGCCCCCAACGGAACAAACTGTTTCGTTCTCACTCCTCAAACTAAATTTGTACACCATTCAA